CTTGATGCACTACAGGTACCTCTAGCTATAAAGGAAGGAGGATCAAGAGTATCAGAAGAAAAAAAGACAAAAAACATAAAACAAAATCAAACAAACAAAAAAAAAACCTTGGAAGATAGTAGGAGTTGAAAAACTCATTATTTTTCCTAGTGAGAATCATCTGAAGTTTGGAGAAGTAGCTAAAGGAAAATTATGAGCTCATATATGCTAGACAGAACAATCACTTTTTAAAGAACTATTGCTCTTCAAGTGGGTTAGTTGTGAAGACAGTCCCATTGTTTATAGACCTTTCTTTGTCCCTTTTTATAATACTACCTGCTTTTGATTTCCTGTGACCTCTTTGTAAGGACTTTGAGAAAATCAGCCTTTCAAGAAAGATATACTAATCAAGATCATATGCTTTGGAAACAAACTTAATTGACACTGAATTCAGGCTTTATTATTCTTATTCTTATTATTCTACATAATGTTGGGTCTGGGACAGAAAAATGTTGAACAAGAGCATCAGTTCCCTTATTTATATAAGTAGAGTAACTCTACTCAATTTGATATGAGCAGTATATAATATACTAAGTGTAAAAGGTTAAGATTAGCATTTACTGATATAGTAAGTTATAGTACATTTTATTGTTGTCACAATTGTTAATTCTGCTCTTGAATAAGTCCCTAATTAATCTTCTATTACATTCTTTTTACGTAATGCATTTTGGTATAGCTCCCATCTCTTTCCACATCCCCAAATTAATTAGGCTACAGATTCATTCAAAAATCCTTAGTTATCTCAACTGGTTTCTTGTAATCAACTGTGAAAAGTGGCAAATAATTTTGATAATATTTTAGATATTGAAATTCATTGATGATAGGAGTTCCTTTCATAGTGTCAGTCTCATTGGCACTCATATTTAAGTGGGAAAGGAAGGAGCTGAGTGATATCTGTATGTCAGGAATTGCACAAGGTCCTGGAGACTCCCTTGAGAATGTGTCATATGTAGGGCCATTATCTTTTACCAGTAGAAGCTGAAGTTGACTTGCCTACAGAAGAAATTGTACTTCTTAGCAAGTTATATGAGCCCTGGATCAGATCTACTTCCAATTCTTACTATTAGTTTCCATTTGCTCTGACTATCCCAAAACAGAAGCTATACTCTTTACTAACTGCTGTGCATGGTAATCTCTCTGCTTTGGTTGCTTGCCCAACTAAGTTCTTGTGTAAAATTTCATCACACTAAGTGAGATGTTTCATCTTCTAGGAAGCTAAGATTCATTTTCTAGGAAGCTAGCATGCTACCTCGTCTCATGTTTTCTCTGATTTCCTATTTGTTTGGATAAATGAGTCAGGCCCTGCCACACAATGCATGTCAATTTACCTTGCTTTCCAAGCCTCTACGTCCCCATAAAATGATGTTACTGCTCCTCTCTGAGGTTTTCCTCCTGCTATTTTTGAGTCTCATGCCAAAGGGTGTCACCAAGAAAAGCTATTGTAGGTGAAGGTAGGGTATTGGGCACTGTATGTTGTTAATGAGACATTTGTATATGCATTCTGAGAACTGCACTTCCAGGACTTGAGGTCTTCTATAGGTTGGTGTACTGTGAGGGAACCAAGATTGAAAATCCGGAAACATAGTGATATGAGTTGCTGTCAAGAAACTTTTTGAGAAAATCATTTCTTCAGCTTGATGCACCTCAGTTTCCCTCATTGCAAATGGTTGACTCCTGGTCTGCATGCCTTCTTGGGGTGTTAAGAGGTTTAGATGAGACCATATGTCTGGACGTGCTCTGGAAATTAAAATTCTCTCAAGAGTTTGTATGTCTTCCCAATACTGTGGTGATAAAAGTAAAACTCTTTTGGATGGCTTTGTTTGTGCTTCCTTTTCTGTCTTCATCCCTCAGTCACATCTGCCTTCAAACTTTTCTCTCAGACTAAACTGTTTACAGTTTCCTTTACAAGGCTGCTTTCACCTGTGGAAGAATGTTCTTTTCTCCACCCCAAGCCTCACCTTCATTTAACTTGGGTCACAACCTACATTTCTATAAGAAGGTTCTCCTTGACTTTCTAAAGAGAGTGAGTAGGCATCCTTCTGTGGTACTCAAGTAACCCTGAATGACCCTGCCATAGAACGCACTACATGATATTATAGTGTTTTGTCATTTCTGTCTTATTCTTGTACAGGGCAAAGAGTTGTTGAACAAATAAAAAAAGCCAAAAAGCTACCAACAACAAAACCAAGAACAAAACAAAAAATCAAAATAACAATAACAAAAACCCAAATGAATGGAATGAGGGGAGCAATAGATATTGTGCCTGTGAGGCAAGAGGTCTTTACAGTCTGGTAAGGCAATAGGATTCTTTTACAATCATAGTTCAACTGACATCCATCAACCTTATCACTTTGTGCACACAGCAAAAAGACTTGTTTCAAGGACAAGGATCATTGCACATGTGATGGGTGATGTGCCTATCATAACATCTATCTGTCTGCTGTCCTGTGTTCTAGTCTGAGACTCCAGTAGGGGTGTGGAAAAGGTTATTTGCATGGCCTGACTTGGAGCAGTTTGTTCTATATGCAGCTTTTCACATTAGAATCTGGACCAAAATCCCCAAATGTTCTCTCCTTTAAAGCCACCCATGCAAAGGTACTGGAAGAGGGAAAGTTGTGGTCTGAAAAATAAAACAAAACAACAAACTTGGTAGGATAACCTGAAGATTTAAATAGCTTATATCTGCCTCAATTCAGAAATCCAAGTTCTTATACCTCAGTGACTTTTGAATGTCTTTCATTGCTTTTTCAGTCCCTACTGTGGCTTTAATATTTCTTTGTTTTTCTCACCACATCCCATTATATGTACAAAACCTTTGTGAGTGGGTGGAAGGTGAATGAGTTTCTATGGTTGGGGTGGATTCTTAATCATTGTATATGGGGATCACACAATAGGTGGAAGCTCTCTCATCAAGTCTCTGACGTAGCATGAACAGAAATAGGAGATGTTCTCAGATACTCCACCACTTTGGCATGTTGCCTGTATATACATAAAGGGGCCATGAAATTGGTGTTCTAGGGCTGGCTGTTTGCAACAGGCACTAGTTTACAAACCACTCAGTAATCATTTTGGCCAACCTTTCTCATGTGATTTATTAGAGGTTCACGGTAAACAATATCTAAGATTCCTTCTAGCTCTTAACTGTAGTGATTGTAAATCAAAGTTAGCCCAATCTTCAGGGGGAATAATGGAGAAAGGTTGAGAATGAGTGTGATAGGTTTGAAGTCCCAGCCTAATTTAGGAAAAGGTATTAATAGATAAAACGGAAAGAAGGCATAGACAATGCATGGAGTGGGCTTATTTATCTGCTATTTAGCTTGTTATTTGTGAGATAAACAAATTATTTCAGTTTTAAGCCATTCCTCCAACCATCAGTGAATTGAAGCTGTTACATAAGACTTAATGTTGTTTTGATTCTCTGCCTCCATTTGTTCTCTAAAAGCCTGTTGAATACAAACATGGGATTTCTAGCTCCAAAATTGTGCTGTAGGGCTAGCAAAAGTCCTTTTTTTCCTCTTAGGAGGTCATGATTAAGAAAAATGTTGTAGTTTGTAGTACCACGGTACCCACATTGGAAGGGACTTTCCATCTCATCTAGCTCTCCATATCTTCCAATACACATTTTATGTAGAGAATTTGGGGTACAGAAAAAGGAAGAGGCTACCTATTGTCATGCAGTGAATCATCAGGCCAGAGTCTTAGCTATATACTAGTTGCATGACACTAAGTCACATACAAGACTCCTACCTCTAGGATCTTTTCAACTTATTATGTACTGTAGTCCCCTGATAACTGTACTTTGTTCCATCTTGGAAAGCTTATGGTGGATGCTAACCACCTTGCCATTTGAGGTAGAAATTAAACCATAAGTGAAACCAGATAGAGCATGGCACTTAGGTCATTTTCTGTAGACTTAAAGGAAGAACTTTGGAAACTCCTCCAGAGGCAGGTTTTGATGTACATATAAAATCGATGAACAGACACAGTCTTTCTTTTCCTAGTGACACAGATGGACATTTTAATAATCTGATCTCAGGAAAAATCTAGAAATCCATGCACTGTGAGGCAGTGATTGATAAATATGGCTTCATGTGGGATCCCTCTCAGGGGTTCTGACATTTTCACAAAGAATGAAGCCAAAGAAAGTATCCCTCCAGCTTTACCACATATGTTCTCACTGAATTACCTACCAACTCAGCCCAGCAGGAAGACTTTGTAACAATCCCTTACATGTGAGGACAATGAGAAATAAAGAATATTTTTATTATTTATTATGATACCTTTAACTTCTCATCAATCAGGGCCTTCTGTCCAGAAATCTAATTTTGGATTTCATAAGCATGCACATCGAGAAACTGCAGGAAAGGACTTTGTTTGAACTGAAGAACCCAAAAGAAGGCTGGCTTGGATTATGTCTGCATAGATGAGGATGATATGGCACTTCAAAAACTAAAGATGTGAGTGTGTCCATTCTTTCCCTGTAGCTTGGTTCAAAGTGGGCAATGATGCTCCCATTTCATGATTCTACAAGTATGATGATGTGAGGATGAACATCTGAGCTCTCTGTGGATTCCCTTGACTGATAAGTTTGCAGTATCTTATGAAAGGTGGTGACTAGCTGCTAATATCCCTCTGTGTGTTTCAACCCAGGTCCTCTGCTATTTTGGGGTTCCCAGGTTAAACTAAGGTCAACACAGGACAAATGCTTTACGTCTGTACAATGAGTTTTAAAAAATATGTGAAAATGTAGCATGCATGGCCAGGGAGCATGATATCAACAGTTAAGGTCAATAAAGACAGAATATAAAATGAGCTAATTAAAAGTAGTGATGACATTCTTCTGAAATTGTAGATGTTTTATGTTTTAACAAATTAACAATAGTGATAAGAGGACATTAGCAGCTTTTCTTAGGTCTCTGTTAACAATAACTTGAGCCTGCAGCCACAACATGGGCTGTGGCCAAGTTTTACTTGGCAGATCATCAGGCCAGTATTTCACACAAAGGATATTTCTGAAAGCAGAGGCAGAGACAAACCCAGAGTCACACATGTATTCCAACAAACAAGTTTCTGCCATTTTAATTATATTTAGAGCAACAAAAGATTTCAAGATTACAAAAAGAGCACAGAACACTAGCGTTTGGGGCTGTTCCTGCTGCCCAGTGGGGGACAAGAGCCACTGTGAGAACTAAAGCCCCATCGAAAGAAGTTTCAAGCAAAATTGTTTCTTTTGAAATTTTTTGAATAATCGTTTTTCTCACAACATCAAAATATTAATTTTTATCTCTGTTTACATAATCTTCTCTTGCCTGCTGACAAATTAATCTCAAGGACAGCACAAGAATGTTATATCCAAGGCACTCCCGAATCAATATTCAGTCTAAGGGAAAGCAGAAAGGTATCACTACATAGTGAGAGTACTTTTATGTATCTAGTTTTGGCTCAATTAATCCCAATTGTGACTGCTTTCAGCACCCAAGTGAGTAAAGTAGTAAGAAAACCCCCAAAGCACTTCACTTTTGAATAGCTAGCACTGAGGGCTGAGCTTCTAAGACTACAAGCGATGTTTGTCTATTATTCAGAGTATAGAACCTCGGACTGTGGGTAAGCAGTCAGCCAACGAGGGTGCCACTGGAGAAGCAGGAACAGTTCAGAATTATCTATCCTCTAGAATATGCATATAAGTGTTTCAGTCTTCAGTGGCCAATGGAAACTGCAGCTACATGATGGTTTTGTTAAGTGGCTTATGTAGGAACTTTTGTAGGCTACAGGGCCACTCATTAAAATATTTTTATTTAATTCTACAAAAGATTAGGAGATAAATGGGTGAAAAAGGAACCTCAATCCCTGTTATAATGCATTATGACTAGAAAACAATCACATATTAGCTATTTTCAGGCCAAAGTGAATGGAATAAAATGAAAGCTGGATCAAAGCTTGGTTTTTAGTATAAAATTTTATCTGTTAAATTCAATTATCTATCACTCTTTTGAGGGGTAGGGGAATTAAGTGATTTGTTATCTTGCCTTAAGTGTTAGAAGAGAAGTGACTAACGTGGATTTTTCTGCCTTCACTTAGAAATGATTGAGAGTTGGGAGTTCCTGGGCAACAGACCCCAGTGTCAAACTCTTTAGTGAAAAGAAATAATAACTACCCTTGGGCAGAGGTGGACCTGTACCTACCAAGATACAACTTCTAGTACAATGATAAGTTTTAACAGAGAAAAACACATTTTCAATTTTCAAATCATTACAAAACATATCCCAAACCAGAATTAGAGGATACCGCCACCCAGTAGCAAGAGCACCTCAATCACAGGGGAGAGAACTGGTGTGAAAGATGGAGCACTTGCTCCAGGTTCCCAAGTGCAGGCAACTACTCTTCTCTCACAAAAATGGTGAAGACCAAGGAATATGCTTTCTTCTCCCAATAGCTCAGGTCACACTGAAAGGACACTGGCCAGTCAGTTGGGTGGGCTTTCAGCCCCAAGTCTGGCTCTTCCCTGTGGTAAATTCCAGCCAGTTCCAAAGCGTCATCACCCTTTCCACATTCATCTGTCTTAGACTAGTAAAGTGCAATACATCAGGTACCCTACCCCATTTTCCCCCGCTACCCCTTTGTAAGGCCTTGTATCAGGCCTAAGAGGGGCAGAAATCTTTGTTATCTGATCAGTCCAGGTGTCTTGTCCATTCTGAGAGTTTCCAAAGTGTAACTGCAGCCTCTCTTACAAGTACAAGGCATCAGATATGACCTGGAGCCAAATATAAAGGTGCAGAGAAAGATAAAGCTTTAAAACACATTATATCTCTCTATATATATAATTCAATTTTTCAAACATGGATACAAATACTCATTTACAATATATTTCAAACTTCTGCCTCAAACTGCAGAGACCTTTTTGTGCAGTCCAAACTGGTCAGAAATAAGAGTTTCTGTCTGTTGTCCTTCTAGTGCAAAATGTAATCCTTAAGTACTCCTCTTCCCAACAAAGCTTCCATATCTTTAGAAAAGTTAACATGGGCACTAGCAAACACAGTGGCCAAGACCAGCTCCATTTCCAACCATGCAGTGATGGAGCTTCAAGAATCTGTTCAAAAACTACTAGAAAAAAGAGAAAGCTATTTGTACTTACAAAATCACTTATTGAAAGACCCATAATCCTATTTTCCAAAGTATCTTCAAGTCTTCCAAATATGAATATTGTGAGGGTGGAAAGGCCCATAAAACTCTAATAATTCAGTCACCAGCAAAGTTATTTAGTCTGTCTTTGGAAAGCTTACCAAAGAGGCACTAAAGCTTACTCCCTCCTTGCCCTTAAAAATTTTGGTATCTTAGATACAAGTTAATCTTTGGTTACATACTGTGATACTGTCGCCTCTTTGTCTATTCTCAAAAACAACTGATTTCAAGGATTTTCAAAGAGATCAGTGGTGGGAGCAGATCTGCTTATACAGGCAGTAGCACTAGAAACTTCCTTTTCCAAGAAATTTCCCATTGCTAAATGGCTTCTTTCGACTTTAAATCTGGATTTTATCGCCTGCTTTAGCATTCCTGATTTCTGTGACCTCCTACTGAGGGTCAAGCATAAAGACCATGCCCTTGGCCATGTGCCCTCCCACCTGGGCAAGCTAAGGTAATCAGTAGTCAGCCCCTTGTTTTTCCCAAACTTTGTGGGATCATGCAGGGAGAGTTAGTGGGCTATCTGAAGAGTCTTCTGAAGTGCATTGCTTGCAGAGAGCTGGGGAGGAGAGGGAGAGTGTTGCTCAGGCCTTTATGCCCTGCTTCATATCAAGGAAGAGAAGGGGACAAGGCCACATATGTGCTGTGCCTAATGAAACAAACACTCAGAAGCTACTTGAAGCTTAAATTCAGGTCATTTGTGTAGTATCAGTATCATGTGAATGGTAGACAAATCTTAAAATACAAGTCAAATATATTTTGCTATATATGCCTACATATATTTAGAAATAGAGTATGTTCAGAGAGGGACTCAGGCATCAGAGCATTATTTCTCAACCTGGAAAATTAACTGCAGCAACTACCCAAGGGACAAAAGACAGAGCAAAGCTCTTTTTTGAAGTGCCAGTGAACATACATAAAAATATACATAGTACTGATTTTTTTCAAAGATAAATGATAAACTCCTTCAAACAATTCCTTTCTCAAAGTAAAGTAACTTACGAAAATGAACTTTCCAAGAACAGCAATATTGTCTATGGCATAGAAAATCTGTAGGACAAAGAATATAACCCCATCCTAGTTCAGAAGCCAGATCCAATGAGGTGTCCAATGAACAGAGAGAGCTGAAACTGCTACATATAGTTCAATTCTTTGCTTGGAGCAGACTTTGTGACCTTTGTAGCTGTCTGCTGCCCAGATAGGAGCTTCTTCACACTCCTTTTTAGCGGTCTTGCTTCTGTTTTTCTCTCATTCTTACTCTCCACCACCCATTGTTGCAGACCTCTTCAGAGATGGTCTTTTTGATTTGTCCAGTGAGTGATCTTCACCATTCAGCTCACCATGTGAGTGGATCTGATGTGGCCAGTCTTTCATAGTTGAGCACAGTAACCACAAGTAGAGCAGAGTACATGCAAAAATGAGACTTCTGTCAAATGTACTGGCTGAAACATACATGGCCAAAAGAAAAACAGAATCACCCTTCTTCCACCTGTGAGAAAGCAGAGCCAATCTAAAACCTCCTTTGGCTAACTCAAATCCTAGGGCAAAAACAGTAGACATTAAGCTCTGTTTAGGCTGTTTATCCCTAGCTTTGCAACTTGGAAATTTGAAGTGATCCAGTTGTTGCTGCTTATTTCACTAATTTTTGGTTTTTGCAAATGAAAAGCATATATATTCTTAAAGGCAAGAGTCACAATTGGGAAATCTATAAAGATAAAAGGTTTGATAGTGAAATGAAACATAGAGCCTTTAGTATTTACAAGGTGAGGAATTAGAATGATATAATCAAATCCATATGCCTCAAAATAAAAGTTGTTTCAGAACAGATATAAAGGAACTATTAAAATGAAACCTAGTTTAATTGAAAAGTGTTAAGATTTTTTTCTACTTAAAACAGCTAAAAGTGATTCTGTAATTAAGCAAGATGATTCCATCAAAAGAAAACCAAACTCTGTCCTATCCCAGAAAGGAAACCCATCAGCTTCAGTTTTTTTCAGCAGTCTTGGATTGGCGTATCACCCATTTTAGTTGCCCTCTCCCTTGTTATTTAAAGAAGCTGTTTTGCAACTTCATTTGGCTATTAATATCAACACAGAAACCATGGAAGGAGACCCATGTGGATCGTATCATGTCACTCAGAAACTATCTTCTCAACAAGCAGAGTAAACCAGCTGCAATGAGCAGGTTAGGGACTGGTCCATGATTTCTTGCATTTAACAGATGAAGTAATGAACTAAGGGAGGAGGCAGTGGCCAAGATAAGGAAATACATGCATAGTCTACCTTGAACTTGAGGTTGGGGAACAAAAACCACAGAACAGAAGTGTGTCAAAGGACTGTATCAAATCAGTGACCCAGGGGGATACCCTGAGTTTATGAGTGGTAGCAAATCACAGTCCCACAAGTCAGATAGTTCCAAAGGAAGCATGATTTTATAAAAAGTCTCAGTGGTCCGTTGTTCCTCTGAATGAGGGGCAGCAACAATAAGAAGAAAACTAAGTGAAAATGGTCAGTGTCAGAGCCTAGAATCAGCAGCAGAAGAGGATGAGTAAATTGGTACCCATCTAGCTAGTTGATGTCCATCTGCTTTAGGCATTGTCTCTGACGATTAATAGTTAAATGTATCTTCTCTTGGTTTTCTCTCTTCTCATGACGTCTGCAGATGGATATGCTGGATGGAAGCAGAACATTTCAGAGTTTCTGGTTCTAAGATAATCATTATTCCAATCTGAGTTATTGAGTTTTCTCTTCCACCCTAATCTGGGTAGCTGCTTCAGCTGCTTTGCAGAAGGGAGTGAGCATTTATCCACTTGATGAAAAGGTGTCATCTCTGGGGGCCAGGGGTCAGACGCCCAGTTTGTCTGATTCCTTTGATGCCCTTTCCAGTTTGTCTAAGGGCTCCAGCGATCTGACTACAGATGAGACACATTTGGTAAGAAAGCTTTAAGACTACTTGAATCTAGAGACAGATGTCAGGACTATTGGCCTGCTACCCTGAATAGTAGGGAGAATTTTAGCAGAGAGCTTGTGAACATGCCCAAAAGGAGTGAACAAGCTTTATCATCATGTCTGAAATGTAGTGTGGCCTACAAAACACTGAAGGGAAGGTGAAAGAAGCTTATGGCCACTTGAAGTACATAGGTCTTTTAAAGCTAAGGAAAAGGTGGTGGTGTTAAGAAATCAATTATCCAGTGTGCTAAGTAGGAGAATATCCAAGCCATCACCTCCAGCTCCAGATCCTCTCTAGATCACATGTAGGAAACTAGACAATCTGAATGGAGTCTTCCAAAGTGTCAGATCTCTCCTCTCCCTTACCTCCTTGATCTGACTCTTCAGTGAAAGTGGCCAATTTTGGGCTAAAGAGAACATTCAGCTCAAAGGTCTCAGAAAGTAGGATGGAGGCAGAGATTGTGAAAGAAAAGGTCTTGGGTGGGGAGGCATTCACATGCAGACAAATTTTCAAATGGGAAACATTTTCAGTACTATGAATTACCCTATAGTCAAGCAGTGTGGCTCTCAGGAGCCAAGGTTGTGGGCAAGAACTGGTGATCTGTTTGCCCTCTTTGTCATCTCCTTCTTTTAGTCTTTCCATGTCATAGGACTGGGATTGCCCTGTCCTCTAAAGGCAATAGCCTTTGCAAAAATAAAGCCTCGTAGTAAATGAGGGGATGAACAAAAACAGACTGCTCATAGGCCTGCAATTTTCACTTGCTTCTACTCATTGCTGGCTTCTTTGGGAATTTCTATTATTTATTTAGAAAAATCCCTAACAAGTTTTTTACTTTTTTGAGTTTTGTGTCATTTGTTTTTGTTTTCCCCGGATACATTCAGCTCTTTAAACTTCCCATGTCATAAGGTAAGTAAATGTTAGTGTGGCTGGCACACAGTGGAGTGCTATAAACAAGCGCAACTTGACACTGGGCCACATGAAGATTATCACAGATTTAAAGAAGTACACCACCATTCAACACACAGATAGGATCCACAGCAGGGTGCAGAGTCTGAAGCAGAGTTAGGGAGAGAAGTTAGGGAAAGAAGAAAAAGAGGAAAAGAGAAAAAAGCCCAGCAATAGAACTCAGAAACATGTTCATGACAGACTATCCATCAATAGAGGAAATTCCCCAAGGCACTGCAGAGAAGTAGTGCAGAGTTATAACAGGCAGAAGACATCTGAAAAGGGGGTAGGGTGGGGTAAGGAAATCAGAATTTCCAAAGCTTCACTGTGTATGGAAATAGATGGGCTTGACTTTCCCAGAAAGGATCTTGGGCACTTGCACAGAGATGATCTCTGCCATCATTTCCGGGAAGTCCACGCTCACCATGTGTGACTTGATTAGCAGGTCAAAAGTGAACTGATGCAGCTCTCTTGCAATCTGCAGAGGATCATAAAAAAAAAGTAAAGAAAAGAAAGCAAACATAGTTAATAAAAGCTGAATTTTGATATACTCCTCCCCAGCTTTGATTTCTAGTCCTTTCAGCATTTTGCCCTCTTATCTATTCTTAGCTCTTAGCTCTGCCTTGTGAGGTGGTATGTGTGTGTGTGTGTGTGTGTGTGTGTGAAATGGTCTTTAGGAAGTTGCTGAGGGTCCCTAATAGATGTCTTACACCAGTGCAAGCTATTTGACTCAGTGCTAGATGTTTCTCTTCACCACTGATGGATCTTTCTCTCTCTCAGACACACACACACACACACACACACACACACACACACACACACACACATGAGCGCGCACCCTCCCCCAGAGGGAAAAACCTCACATGCACATGATTCAGGAAAGAGGAAACAAAAAATGCTCAGGTCTGTTTTGTCTGCCTAGAGGACTCATCAGCTTTAAGCTTTTCCCGGAGTCCCAATTGCTCTGTTCTCAACTCCTCCACCCCTTTTCACAACAGCCAGCTGGGACACTGTGACCTGTGTTCCTTTCTTTTCCATTGCATTTTCTTCCTGGACTATTCTCAAAACCAGAGGAGATGGAAACACCTCCCAACAGGTGGTGCCAGACCCTAGAGAAGCATTGTTATCATTATTATCCTTTGGCTGTATCAGGTTGCTCCCCCTGATAAAGACAAAGTGAGTGTCTGGCCCTTGTCCCCCAGAGATGATACCCTCCATCATTTGCTTACAGGCTGCACAGAGTCCAGGAGCTTTGTGAGCTGGTAGAAGCGCCTTGAGCAGGATGTGGGATTTTTTCTTTTGCATGCAATGATACGATCGAGTTCCTTGATGTAGTTCATTCGAAGTTCATCAAAGAATTTTTGATTTTTCAGCCCATCCACTGGAACTGATGTGGGATGAAGACAGAATGCATAGGGGAAGCATGCCCACAAAGGAGCATTAGACAAAGCACCAAATTTTCTGACCACAAATTTGACCCCCCCACCCCCACAGGGAGGAAAAAATCTGCTTTGCTTCCTGTCAATTGAAGTTTGTGGACTTGGGCCCTTCAGTTTGCCAGGGAGCTCTCAAGGAAAGGCATAGCTGGATCCAATCTGAAGGAGGTCAAATAAAATTTACTGAATCCTTCCTTTTTCTAGTATTCTCATGTACTCATTTCTTAGGAACTATGGTTTTATGTTGTTTGCCATCTAGTGCTGATTGGGACAATTAAAATATATAGCTTTAAATATTAAATTTTGCCTTCTTTCCTCACAGAGACTAGGTATTTTGGCTTAGAAGAGATATTAAAGAAAGGTAGCTTGTCTGCCAAGACAGGTCTAAGAGTTGGCTACACAGACCTCCTCCTGTTGGTTGAAGGGGAAATGCCTTGCAGGAGGCAATTCCTCCCATCTACTGCTCTGCAAAAAATATAAGGTGGTTCGTTCCTCTTTCCATAACAGAAGTTGTGGAAAAATTCAGAGGCTTGCTACAACTAGCCAAAAAGGCCTAGTCCCAAAGAAGAAACTGCGGGTTGATGAGCATTTGATTGATGGAGGTTGAATTCTACCAAACACATTGATCTCTGGGCATGAAATTGGTCTTTGTTAAGAAAAAGCATGCTGAGGTAGAGTGGAGGGAGGAAAGAAGAAGGGAAATGCTCAGAGGCTTGCTTCTCCTTGATAATATTTAATAGAAAAAGTACACTCCTCTGAGCTTCTATGCCCCCAAGGACATTCCCTGTACTTCTAACCACTTACTAATGCTGAAGAGTAGCAGTGCTTTCATGCAAAGGAACTCTTGGGGTGTGACTTGGAGCCATCCAAACTCTTGAGAGAGATGCCTCATTCGGACACACTGGCTGTACATTCGGGACTTATGCATGCGATACCTGGGAAGAACACACAGAGCAAAAAGAGGAATGAGGTGGGCTTCCAACATGTCTAGAGGAAATTTCTTTTTTTCTCCTTCCCTAGGTTCTTCAAGAAAAGCTTGCTGTTTGTCTTCCTGGTGCTTCAGTGACAATGAACAAGATGCTTCCCCTCAACCCCGAATTACTGACATGCTGACAGCTACTCATCTTCCTTGGTCAGGATATGAATTAATACACAGAAATTTCAGCTCTCTGTGTTCCCTCTGTTTCCTGAAACAGAGACAGAAAAGCATAACCAAATGAACACAGTGAGGTAGGCACATGGTCTCTCTGGCTACAGTTCTGGTATCTTCACTACAGTTAAGAGCCAGAATTTGCCTTTCAGGCAGTCTAAATTGGAGGATATCTATGAGAGAGGACTCAGCAGTCAGCTCAACACCAGGATTTGTAAGTGACCACAGGTGTTTATCCTGTCAACACCCATGTTGGCTTCTTGATTTGAAAGCCATTTCTCCCAGCCATGGAGATTCAACATTGTCCTTTCAAAGTAAGTTCCAATGCTTCCAAATGTGCTAGAGAGTGTTTGAATGTCTGATTAAATGTCCCCTGCTAAAGGGGAGCCCACTTTCTCAAAGACTAGCTGTTCCTTATAACGGCTTTGAAAGCTAAAACATGAGTGAGTTGCTTTTATTATAGTGACTTGTGAGCAGCTCATCACATTACCACCAATAAATTATATGGGGAAGTTGCCAAGGTTTAGATAACTTTAGTGTAGAGGAGCAGACTCTCTGATCCAAGAATGGTCATGGCGTACTGGTAAGAGAAGACACAGCTTATTTCCACTAGTTATTGTTGCAGTTTTCATCACTTCAGAAATTGAGAGTGTGTGTATATGTAAGACAGCAATTGATTGAGTAGCATGAGAAGAAAGGAAAGGTAATTTGACATTCACTTAAAGGCAAGGCCAAACACCTCCCAGATGGAGTCTAAATGTTTGTTTTGACATTAGGCTTCCCAAGCCACTAACTAGGTCCACAGACTGAGTTGGTGTGGCACTGTCTGAGTAGACACTCAGAAGCTTATCTCAGGGAGTTCTTGGCTTTCTGTAGAATGAGAGGAGGGGGCAGATGATACATAATTATTCAATTCATGCTGAGTTCTAACTGAAATAGGGAAGGATGGTTTGGATGGTATCACAAGTCAGTTAATCAGAACAGTGGTGCCCTTAGCTCTTATACCCTATAGAATTTTTTACTAAAATCTGCTGTCTTGGAAAACCTGACCTTACTTTTTTTTTTCAGAACCAGGGGTTGGACTCAGGCCCTTGTGCTTGGCAGGCAAGTGTTTATTCTACTGAGCTATCTCCTCGGCCCCTTGAACTTACTCTTGTCTCCATTGTATTTTCATGTCTCTGATTGTGAAGAACTATAGTCTTTTTACTAGTGAAATTGTGGTCCTTCCATGGAGGACTCCTAGAATATTGTAGCAGCTCCCATGAGACAGAAAAGATAAGGAGTCAAGAGGAGAGGTGAAAGAAGGGGGCAGGGAATTCATAGGATAAGGGATCAGGAAACAGGGAGAATAGGCAAACAGAATATTGAAAGAGTTAAAGGAAGGAAAGGAAAAGGAGAATGGAGAGTAGAAGAGGAAGGGCAGGAACAGAATTCAGGAGAGCAGAGATAGATGAAAATGGATAAAACCAAATAAGAGGAGAAATGAAGATTGGGAAACATTGAACAAAGTTTCTAGCACATAGTAAGTGCTGAGTAAATGACATGGAAGAAAGTGTTGTTATGATATTATTCACTATTCTACAGATTAGAGTTGAGATTCTGAGAAGAAATTTTCCCAAGTTCAGTTAGGATTCAAGCCCATTATCCTCAAAACATATCTCATTACAAAGAGGGAAATAAAGAATAGAATTGGGCAGATGATAGGATTTGGTGTCAGAGAGAATAGCCCATGAGTCAGCCTAGCTTGGACCAATCTTTTTATCTCTGTTTATAACTCAATGACCCCATTAGCACCCTGAGGAGATGAACAATAATTAGTGGCTCTCATTTTGTGAATACTACCTCCTCAGTGGCTATTAGAATTGTATGTGTGTGATATTTGGGCTGTCAGAGTGACTGGAATTCTATATAGTGGGACAATGTGGGAATGCTACACATAATATATTCTAATATGCAGCAATGTCTTGCACAATGAAAAAAATCATTCTCCCTAAATGTCAACAGCATCTACATTTTAAAATACTAGTTTCTATGTTTGTAGGAACTCTAAGAGCTCTAATATATTAGGTTCTTGTAGTGGAAGTGTGCTTGCTACTTCAGGACCAATGAAGCTTGGTAGGTTCCTGACACTGAGGAATCCTGTGACTCCTTTTAATGAGATCAATGGGACTAATTTAAGAATCTCAGGTAGGGTGCCATATGCTTACTCAGAGACATAGAAGGGAATAAGGATTTAGACAATAACAAATTATCACCTCACAGAGCCCCAAACATCTCCAGGTTATAGAGAAGAAGGAAGAAGTGCTCATCAGGTGTGCCAATCACTCAAGGTCAGTGAGGGTTTGGAAGTCAGAGATGAACAGTTAGGGAGGCTTTTAAAAGTCTGACCCAGAAGATGGCATCATAGGTAAGACTTTGAACATATGAAAACCACAAAGCAGGTCATGCCACAAGCCCAGGGGCTATTCTTAGCTCTTGGCTATTAAAGCTGGCAAGGTTGACAAGGGGCAGCTAGGGACACTGACTCCCTTGCATGGCACAGCTATAGTTTAAGGAGTCACTGACTTGTAGATTTTATTTTAAGGTTCTTCTGGGTTAAAGGGCTGAAGGAGAGGGACGTTTAATTCCTGTCCTGACCAAAAGGATTCTCTACGGTGAAACTAACTAAAGGTTCTTGGGAAGATTATTCTGGTCACCTCCATTCACAATTCCATGGAAGGATCTCAAACAGATGGCATAGAGAAGATTATTACTATTAGTGAAAAAAGGAATCAGAAAGGGATTTTAAAAATTATTATTTTTGGTCTATCGTAGGCTGGATTCTTTATGTCCATCAATTGCCATTTAGTAATAATAAACCATTTAAGAAACTTTTATTATTACTAACAGATTACAAAAGTGAGAATCAGGCAAGTTAATGGTCTTGTCCCAAGGTGATATGGTAAAGAGGACTGATATTTTATTGATAAAAAATGTAATTCTAAAGTTTGCACTCTGATCCAAACAAATTCATGAAGGATAAATAGGGTTGGTAGCAGTAGAGACATGAGTTAAACTTATTTAAGAAAAGGAAAATGGCAGGGCAAACTTCACTTTATCCTGCTGAGTCTGACTTCTGCTATTTGTAAAAATAAAAGACTCTATTAAAAGGGGAGATCAGGTTACCATACATATTCCATGAGACAGAATTTAGGAAGTATCTAGCATACTCCTGACGTGAAATAGCTGCTCAATAAATTTTGGCTGATGGTAGACCTCAGTGGCAACAAAGAGACCAAAAGGACTTCAGTCCTCACAACTAGTCTTTCTGCTCCTCATGTATATTGCCCAGTGAAGAGAAGGGACCTTTATATGACATTCTGAATAAGCTACAAAGTATGTCATAAATGACCAAAATACTACCATTGAGTCTTGGGTTGGAAAGGGTAACCTTATCACTACCAATCCCAGACTCCTAACAGTTGGCTTTCCAGACAGGCAAAGCCACCTCAGACTGGACTGGTTAGCTAAGGCCTCTAGTGCCACACTTACAGGTACAAAGTACTAATTTCTACTGTCAGCAACACCACCAACCATATTGTTCCTAGATGTTGTATATATGTGAGGTCTGGTTCTAGGAGCACTTACTCATTGAAAACTAGGTCAGGTGCAAAGTAGAGCATTCTGGAGTTGACATTGGTGAAGGACCGCCAGCCCATGGCAAACACCATGAGTCCCATCCAGGAGTACTGAATGACTGCCATCTGGTCATCCACATGCAAGTTGCGGAATCCTGAAGAAGAGACAGAGGTGATGATCAGTTCAGGCATTGATGTGTTCAGCTAAGACCGGGCCTCTGTTGAAATGAGGATGTTCAGCACTCAGTAGGCTATGAGGAACCACAGGAGCCATCAGTGCTGGTTACTGAGGAATGGAAGAAAAATATCAGACTAGTTTTGGGGGTTAATATTGTTTGCTCTCCTTACCTCAATAAGCTGATCAAATGAGATAACAGAGGCAAAGAAGGTATTTTGGGTTGGAAGAGAATAGTAATCTAAGGCTGATTGCTTATGACAAATTAACTCTTTTTGAAGGGATTTGCTTATATCCCCTCAATGAATCCTCACAACAATACATAAAATGGGCACTCTTTTCATCCCCATTCTGTGATTAGTAGAATTGACTCACAGAGAGGCATGGCACGTGCCGCAGATCATATGGCCAGTAATTGGCAGACCAAATTCCAAAAAGCCAGGCAAACTACAAAACTCATACCCTTAATCACTACACCTTTCTGAAGATGCAAGGTAATAATTAGTTCTTCCACACAGACAGCAATTCTCACTTTACAAAGCTCCCTTGTAGCCTTAATCTGGTTTGACTTCTGTAATAACACATAATTACATAGTGGCTTATGGGGAACTGTGTCTTGATAGCCACTGCCTTTTTCAGGTCACAGTCAAGCTCTCTCTTTTCTATGAACTTCTTTACATCCCACACTTCCTCTCCATACTTTTCTAGTTAACAGGATTCTAGATTTTCCAGTCCTACCCTTCAGCTATCCCCTCCCTCCCTTAGACACAAGCAAGCCCTTTATGGTCTGCTTCCCTAAACTAATTTCTTATTGCTTGATTTTTACAATTTACAGTCCAGCCATAATGAAAAACTTAAAATTTGTTGAACATTTCATGTTTTCCCAGGCCACTCGAGTTTTACTATCTCTAAACAAACTGTTGCCTTTGCTGAGAATGGATTTCACCTACCCAACCTTTCCATCTGATAAACACCTACTCATGTTTCAAAACTTTACTCAAAGTCCACATCCTCTGTGAAATCTTTCAAACATATACCAGCAGAAGGCTTAATGATTCTTTTTACTTTCTCATTACATTATGGTGCCATAGCCAAATTTAAACTTCATAGCACTGTAATTTATATATGTATATGTTTGTCTCCCCCACAAAACATGAAACTTCCTGAAGACAGGAGCCATATTTCCTTATTTATGTTTGCATCTATAATGTATATCATCATCCAGATATATGACTGGGCATTTCAGAACTATTAATTGATAAACAAATGAGCTAAGAGCCTTCATTTTTCCATTTTTTTGAAAAATGAGAATTAGATGATGCTCAAGTGACTTTTCTTCACCTCAAAAAACAAAGCCTTGGGCCCACCAAATAGCTCAGGGGATTAAAGTGACTGCAAGCAGGCACAGGGGCCAGGGGCTTGGTCCCTGGGCCTGCTGTGCTGGCCCCGCCCCCAGGGCTTGCTGAGATGGCAATTGAGACTGGGCGTGGTGGTGCCTGCCTGTAATCCCAGCACTTGTGAGGCTGTAAATAGGAGAATCACTACAAGTCCTATCTAGTAGTGAGACCCTGAACACCTTGTAGACCCTTCCCTACGATACAGGGAAAATACACACACACACACACACACACACACACACACACACACACACACAGCCTTTCAGGTGCTACTGCTGCAGTGTCACATGAGTACAACAAATATGGACACATTTTCCTAGAGGGTTCCAACAGTTGGATACTCATAAATGCAACATGTCTCAGCACCTCCTCTCTCCATTTCTCAAGAGATTCAGAATCATCTAAAATTCTGTCTGGCTACATTTCATTAAGAATGCCTTTTAAAATTTAAATTAGACCCGGACTGTTCTATTGATGACCTCATTTAACTCTCACAATAAGTTTAGAGGGTAAGTGATATGACACAACATTAGCATGGACCCTGAGGGCCAGAAAGATGAACTGACATGCCTAAGATCATAGTCATAGTTGTGGTCACACTGGATCTAACACCAAGGTGCTCTGAGTCTTTGCTCCAGTGTTTTTCTTACTGTACTGCTAACCATCACAACTCAGGAGCCACCAAGGCCACCACCTTTTCTTATTCATAGATGTAGCTCTGAAGTCTTCACTGTCCAGACAACATAGATATTTGATTCCAGGCTACTCACAACCCATCCCATGTTCCTTTTCTTATAGGTCCCAAGTTTCCAGACATCACCGATTCTAGAGTCTTTCATAGCACCACTACTCTCTTAGCCCCCAAGCCTTTTCCTATAACCTTCATGGTACTGCCATGCTAAAAGAGGGGCCAACGCCTCAGATCCCAGTGTGTCTCCTTCCTGGACACTTTATAGTATAAAATGCCCAGTAGGAGCAAGATGCAGATCAACATTTAAGAATGCTTTGGAGAAATGGCCTGGAAGTTTGAACCTTAGACTTCCTCTTGGATGGGGGACAATGGTCAGCAAAGGAAGAGAGAGAGAGAGAGAGAAAGAGAGAGAGAGAGAGAGAGAGAGAGAGAGAGAGAGAGAGGAATGTCAGGGTATATAGAGAGATATGAATTAAGCTGCAAAGGTATCAAAGTAAATGTCCATATGAATATAAGGATTATTCTCCCATAAGACTTCAGAGAAAGAGATAAAAAAGGGAATATTTAGTTTGGGTCTAAATACTCATTAACAATCCTTAGTAAGGGCTAATTAGTACTCAAACCTAGTGTCTGTGTACACATCGGAAGCTGATTTTCCCATTGGTCTAACATGATTATAATATCTAACTCTCTTTTCTAGTGCTCAACTTTTGAGGTAGCCTGCTAAGATGGCATGTCTATCAAAGGATGACTTGAGGAGACAGTGGCCTCAGTCCTACAGATTTCCTTAGGCAAAAATTTACTCAACCATGTTAGACTGTTTTACAGAAACAGAAATGACTCATTCTTAGGTTTTGAAATACAGAAAGCAGGTTAAAGAGCAGAATAAATTTCTTTCTTTTCTCTTTAGAATCCAATCAACATCACTGTTACTAATACGAAATGGAAAGTTGGAGTCTCATCTCCAGACTGAGACAGCAGGTTTAAAGCAAGAGTAGTATGGAAATCTTTGCTGCTATGGTATACCTGCTAGCCAAAGACCTCAAAGAAGGCAATTTGACTTTGGGGTCCATGTATAAGCTTCTAAGCCAAGGTGTTGGTAGCTTAGTGAAAGCAATGGCTTAGCACTCAAGCTTTGCAATAATGAGATACCATTTACAGATCACTTAGTATGTTTCAGCCAAAGCACTCTTCATGTATTCTCTATATTTTGATGACAACTTTTAAGCTAGCTATTTTCCTACCATCTTGACAAATGAGAAAAGAGAAGCACAAAGAAGACGTATGAGTTGCTTGAGGTCACACAATCATTGCAAAACTAGTATTCCAAACTAAATACATCTGATTGTGAATATACTGCATATAATCTACTCACTTTCCACAATTTATGGTTATACATGATGTACTAACACATCAGGTACCCTGTTAGTCAGTTTCCAGATATTCTCACCATCACAGAAACTTTCACTGCAAAATCATTTGGCCAGGTACTTATCACAGTGCTTCAAACAGGACAAGAACTCAATCTGTTGAATGGGCAAATTACTTGAACTGCTAGATATTATTGACAATATAAAAAGCAGTTCTTGTGAATGTGGTAATTAGCTTTCTTTGGAAGCTATTCTTCTAAATGTCTCAAAGTCAGAGATCATTTACTTTAGAGAGCTAGATGGTGAACTGATTTTCTCTTGCAAATTTATTAATTTAAGGAGAGAATTTCTAGTATGAGGATTAGGCTGAGGAAGTCCAATGACTTCCAGTTATATAACTTCTACCATAGTTATTTGCACTAGTTCATTGTCAAGACCACCCAATTAGAAATCAGAAGATTTTAGCTGAAATTCTGGTTCTATTTTTAAGAGAATAATCCAACAAATTAGTTAACTTCTTTAAGTTGTGCCATGTGAAATGGAACTAATAGTCACTATGATTCATACAACTGTTTTGAGAAATATATTGTATTTATATATGTGAAAAGGTTCTGTGTCCTATAAATGAGATATATGAAGTATTTAGAAGTTGTTTTGGAAGACTGAGCTTTGAATCTCTATTAAACATGTGACATCAAGCATCCAGCTGAGTAAGTGATAAGAGCTAATACAGCTCTCTCTTTTTCTTTTTATTCCCCTCCTTGTATTTTTTCTCCTTATGTGAACTCTCAGTTTTGGCACAGTGCATATTCAGCCAGAGTCCTTGGGCTTTCTTCCCAGTGATCTTATTGGCTAGTCAACCTCAGCTTCTCAAACTGGGAAAGTGTTAGAGATGGTCTAGTAGATGCAACTGGGCCGTGTGAGTTAAAAATACAAAATAAAGGCTTGATGGCCAACACGTAGCATCTTCAATAGTAGTAAGAACATCATATTACCAAAGTGGTTTTTGAAGAAGCTTTGGCCCCTCATCATAATGCCCAGAGTTAAAGAACAAGTGAGACACCACAGACTATAGGTATATTGGAAAGAAAATGAAATTCAGAGGAAGGGACCTGGGCTTGCTACTTTCTGGTTTTGTAACTATATAACACCTCTTCTCAGAACTTCCTTGTCTTTACAAAATAAGAGAAATAACTCCTACTTTATAGGATTTTATAAGAATCAAATCAGTAATAAAGAGGAAGCTGTTATTTTCATTACGAATTTGCATTGCATAATAATTATTGTTAGAGAAGCAGGTTAATCTTTGACCCCATAGGTTATTGATGTTTCAAAAAAATCTTTGAATCACATAAACGCAGGATTAGAAGACCATTTAAAGAGCATATGCTTCACTGGTTTTCAAAACTGTGTTCCCTGGTGCCAAAAGCTTCTTCAAGAATAACCTGGAGAGGTTACAAGGGATAAGAAATGAGTATGAGCTTCTAATGCACACATAAAAGACTGACTAAATTAAACTGTTACATTAGTATTGGTTTACAATGCTTTTGAGAAATAAAGCATTTGGATGGTGAAGGAAAGTTTGTGAATCTTTGGACAGAGGCTCTCTAAATTTCTGTAATTTGTAATGTTTTCGTAATAATACTCGTTTAAATGGTAGCATCGAAAGAGGGTAAGTCTCCCACCAGCAGGCAAACTTCCCCCATAGCGTGATAGTGAAATGAGTGTGACTAAATAAGTACCTGCCCCCTACATGTGTTCATTAAATATAATCTCCTTTATCCCATGTACTCATTTTCATTGTTCTTACCAGGCAAGGCTTTGGCCCACTTGACCACATGTACAAGCTGTCTCTCCCCTAGTTCATTGAGGCTAGACAGCAAGCTTGCAAAGGAGTCAGGTTGGTTGTTGTCATGTCCAGCACACACCACACCTGGCTCAATGGCTTCTAAGACATTCAGGAAGATAGGCTGACAGTCATAGCCTTCAATGTGTGGTACCGTCATCTTCTGGCATGGCTCCTCAGTGGGGCTGCTGGCACTGGAAGGTTCTCCTTCTTCCTGTAGTTTTAAATTGCCAAGTTTCTTCAGCTTCCGGGCTATTGGGAAGGAAGAAAAACTTGAATATATCATTGTTGCCAAACCACATTAGCAAATCTGCACTGGTAGGAAAGCTGCCCACAGCTAAGAAAATGAAGATATTCCTTACCCCCATCACAAGTGCTAAATTCCCTAAGGTCAAGTGCTCACTTAACATGGCTTGAATGAATGATTCATCATCCCAGTGCTATTAACCTAGTAAGTACATAGTATTGGACTTGCTATGCTTTCATGCAACCTTCAGTATTCAAACCTGGGCCTTCAATTAATTTATTTATGAAAATATTCATCATTAACTCATTTATTCAGTGGATATCCACTGTTATCCCCTTGTTTATGGATACAAGAAAGGACACAGGCCTTCCCTCTGTCTGACAGAGCAGAAATAAATGACCACAAACAATCACAGAAAAAATCAGGATGGTAAATAAATGCTGCAATAGAGGAACTAGAATGAAAATAATAATCTCTCTGAATTGGTAGAGTTAGGAAATACTTTACATCAAAATTAGCGTTTGATCAACATATACACACACAAACATGCACATTATAGATATCTTTGGGCATTTCTATGTTTATTTTGTGCTATTTTCCCTAGCATTTATATACATAGAATATAAATAAGAATATAAATAATTATTTTAATGTTAATTTAAATGGATAAATACAATAAAAACCTACAGCTCATCTGTTTCTGTTTCCTGTAGAAAGAAATGATACATATTTAGAAGTTACTTCTAGCTCTTATTAGAAAAGCAAGTCCTTCAGTACAAACACAAATCAGTGTCAATCAATGGAGCACATGTTTGCAGCAACAACTAGGGTGGGGAAGGGGAAATAGTGGGTTAGGTGGTACAAGAGGAGCACAGAAAACCGAGGGAGAAAATAACAAAGAAGCCTGGAAAATCAATCCTGAGTGCAAGATGATCTTGTCCAAAAATCATTTCTGCAGAGATTGGACACAGTAATAAGAAGATATGTACAGCTACTGCCAACTCCCACATTCCATCAAGAGGACAGGCAGTAAGTAAGGTATGATCTGGGCCAAGCCAGTCTTTGTCCACAGCTAGAAGACTGTCCTCCATGATATCTCATCATCTAGTGAACCCATTATTAACATAGGTTCTTATACACAGCTCCCAGACTGTTGATGCCTACAAGGTTTGTTCCCCTGGTACACTTCCTACAGGCAGGCTGCAATCTCCCCTTCACTGGTACTTTCTTGCCTTGAGCTCAAAAATTGCCAGACTATGTAGCCCCTGTTATACCCTGGTGGAATAATAATAATAATAATAATAATAATAACAACAACAACAACAATAATTCACCCTTTGCCTGAGGTATCTAAGAGAAATAAGAGTATTTTTTGTCAGGGCCTTCTACTATGTCTCAATTCATTGATATGTTGTATCATTAATTCTACAGTTCTTAGGGTGCTGGATATATTTAAAATTCCTGGTTTAAAAATGAGTAAACTGAGGTAGTACAGCTATCAAGAAAGATAACTCAGTAATCTAAACTTGCAATGACAAATTCCATGTTCTTGCTCTTATATAATGCTGTTTCTACCAAGGAGTCTGAAACCTTAAACACTACATTTTTAGCCTGGAAGCAGAGTTGAGGAATGGGTCTGGGGTTATACATATATCCTGTTGCCCATTTTGACTCTTGTCTCTAAAGTTCAGTAACTATCATCACATTCAGGAAGGAAGAGACAAGAATAATCCAGTCATGTGCATTAATGGAAACAGATTTGAGATAATATAGTTACTTAAAGCCTCACAGAATGACAAGGAGAAGGGGTCCTTAGAAATTATCATTCAGGGTCATAAGCAATACAATAGGTGGGAAGTCATATAACATATAAAAATGTCCTGAAAATCATGTATTCTAAAGTGGAACTGGGTCCTTATGCATAATTTTGGGACTCCTGACATTAGAAAGTCAAAGATGGGGAGGCTGAAGCCAAAGGGGACAATGCAACCTAATGGCAGAGCTAGAATTAGAATGATCTCCTGTTTTAAATTCCTTATGCCACATTGACTTTCTCTTTGATTAACTCACTTCTGCCCTGTCAAAGAGGTAGGTGCCTCTTTGAGTTTATTCTAGACTTTCATTGTACAACAAAGTAGTCATGGTCCCTGTGCAGCTATTTAAATTAATATTAAAGAAAATTAAAATATAACTCACTCTAACTGGACATTTTGCTAGTGTTCAGAAGTGCTACTAGATAGGACAACATATAGACTATTTCCATCATTTCAGAAGGTTCTATTGAGTAGTGCTGCAAGTATAGGCTGCTCTGTGGAGCAGCTGTTCCATTTGTTATCCCCTAATAAAATTATTGATAAAGAGGAAAAGAATCGAAATAAATTATATACAGATGAGTCTGTAGATTTTCCCAAAAGGTAGAGGGATGCACAGAACAACTGGTGCAGGCGGAATCAGTGAGATATAGCTTGTCAGCTCTATTTTCCTACCAATGAGTCAGATCTCAATAGGGTCATTGCTTGTGCACCTAAACATACTTATTACAAGCAAGATCAATATGTGCAGCCACTATGGGGGAAAATCTATCAAGGCTAAATAATCCCCTTTCTCTGTGCAGTGTCTTTGAGAACTTGGCTGGCTTTTTCACATCCTATTCTGCTACACATATAAAGTGTAGTTTGAGGAAGGCAGGCAGCATTTCCTAGCTTAGAAGACCCACATACTGTACTGTCCCAGTGGCCAAAGTGGCCCAAGCTGCACCAGGTGTTCTAGCCTGTCTATCTAAAGAGGAGGACTATACTGAACATAATTGAAATCAGATTCCTTTCATTCTGCGAGGGATCCTCTGTTCTTTCTCTGTAGCAGAAGCCAACATGTTGCTTGATGGCTTGGAATGCCAGACAATGAGGCTTTCTACTCACAGCTATTATTCAATGTCCAAGGCCTTGTTTACTTGCATGAAGGCTGCTCCCACCCTCCTTCCTTCTCTTGCACCTGAGCCCCAGAGTCCAATCTAACTCTCCAAATGAGGCACAAGCCAGCCAGCCAATGTAGCAAAGCAGAAACTCACATAAACTAAGGGTTGTGAAGCAAAAAGTTAGGAAGTTAAAAGTATATAGTCCTAATGTCGTGGAAATTGCTTTGCATCTTCACTTTGCCTTTTTTAGTTAGAGCAATGACAAGAAAGGACCTTGATAAGGTTCTTTCCTGTCTTTACCTGCTCTTCAGAGTGTTGGAGCACCTCGCCTGATAGACCCAGGTCCTATGGGAAACTTACTTTTTAGCCCTTCCTGTAGAAGGTTTTTCTATAGCACCAGAGAAAGATTTTTCAAATCTTCTATCAGAGAATTTTAAGGGTAGTTATCTTTGATGGGTTTGACCTAATCAGGTGAGATTAAAAGGTATTGAGCTTTTCTGGCAAATACATTCAATGAGTCTTGAGAGAGTTTCAACACAAGAAAGACTTTCTGTAGCTGGCTTTGAAGGTGTTGGGACCCATATTACAAATAAAAATAGCATCTCCTTGGAGATGAGAGTGGGCCTTTGCTGATAATCAGAAAGGAAGTAGGAACAGAAATCTGCAGTCCTACTACTACAATGAACTGACTCATGCTATGATTATGTAAGTTTGGGAGAAGACTCTGACCTATGGATTAGAGGGCAACCTGTGCAATACCTTGATTTCTTCCTTGTGAGAACCTGAACTGAGAAGTCAGCCATGCTGTGCTAGACTTCTGACTTGTAGAAATGTACGCTAAGTAATGGTTGTGGTTTGAATCTACTCAATTTGTGGTTATGTCATATGCAATAATATGAAACTAATATAATTTCTTCACAGAGGGTTGGGTTCTAATTTCAGCTCTGCCAATTATTAACCCTGTTGTTTTGCTTCTCAAGATTCAGTTTTCTCATTTGTAAAATGGGGATGCTGTTACCTGTGTCTGAGGTCAATTATTACAACTAAATCAAAGAATGTCTAGTATATAGTGAGCTCTCCAAAATGATTTCTTCATTCTCCATCCATTCCTAGAGTAAGGACAGAATAGTATGTAAGTGACCTAACTCTGGCAAGATGATTGTAAACTGCATGTATTGCAAGCATACACTAATGAAAATGTTTGGGGGAAGGAAGTTGACATGAGAACAGATGAAAAGATATAATAGGAGCAAGAGAGATAAATACATTGTGAAATGAAAAACAATATGTTTCCTCAGCACATGACTGTCTATAAAACTAAATTCAGAATTTAAATGCAATTGTAGGATTTGGGCAGTAGTTCACTGGCAGAGCACTTGCCTAGTGTGAACAAAACCCTGGGTTTGATTCCCAACACCATCAAAAAAATCCCTTAAGATAATTCTACATGTTAAGGAAACATAGAAGTATGCCTCTAGCAAGGCTGTCAATTCTCTGTGAAAACATACTAGGCTGTACATTTGAGAACATTTGTGAATACATTTATGTACAGTGCCTATGTATTATAATATTTAAATTTATGGGTCATGAACCCAAATACCTTCCCAAGTCAGGAAGATAGGTAGATAAGTAAAACATTTTTCCCTACAGAGGTAGAGTAGGGAAAAAGAGTACAATATAAATAGAAAGAGTGAATATAAGTAAGTAGGGAGAGGGACAGTGACTGTGATTTACAAGCCTAGGAGAAGTCGAAATCAATTTTCTACACAAAATACTATTCTGGAGAAATAATATTTCGTAACTGAAATTTGGCCTGGGGAAAGTCAGTTTGTGGCTTCTGGATTAAATAATGGCAGCCTTCTTTATGTCTAGTAGAATTCAAATCTGGGGATTTCTACTTTGTAATGACAAGATTAGAGATCACAAATAAAAGATTAGGGGTCAAGTCAACTCTTAACTGATCTGTCTGCCTTCATATAGATAAAAACAGTAACTGTTGAGCACAAGGATTCTTTCCTATATTGTTGACTAGCTCTGTGTGACTTTGGGCCACACTCAGCCTCTCTGTACCTCATGTAACTCATTTGTAAA